GCTTTTAGTTAAAAGAAGAAATGTTTTAATAAATGAGAGATTTGTCTGCACTTTGTGGTTTGGTACAAATTGTATAATCCATCCCAATCCACTCAGCTGCATTACTCATCCCTACGCTGAATAATTGAAAGTTAGCCTTACATTTAGGCACTTCCTGCATTGTTTTCTCATACATCCTTAATATTGCATTGCTATTAAATTGATAATGTACCCCGTTATATTAGAAATAAATAATTAATTGACAGTGCTGGACTCTGGGAACATGAGCTTGCGCTTCTGCCTACACACTGAGTTCACTATGATGATTTGGGCAAGTGCTTTACTCCTCCTGTGCTGCGCATTAAATAATCATTTGGGGAAAGCTGCTTCTAGAAATGAACAAATTAATTATTATCAGGGAAAAAAACAGGCCAATTTGCAGGTATGCTTATAATGCTTGCTAAGAAATACTTCTCAGATTGTGATTAACATTAAGCAGATTGACTGCATGCCTTCATTCATTCAGTTGTCAGTCCACAAAAATTTAATGAACATCTACTATAAGATATTATCTATCAAGTTGTATCAAGTGCCATCATATATATTGTCTGTTATGTTCCCTGGAAGCAGAACCTGAGATGATAATTCTTGTTTAAAAGATTAGAATGCGTGCGCTCAGGAAGAGTAGGGGAGGGAGGCAGGACAGTAAGGGGAAAGTGGCTTGTTGAGAAGGGCGTCCCGTCAGGACACTCCCTTCAGTTAGTCCTAGGAGCAACTGGTTCACTGGAGAAGTGGCAGATTTCTGTGCTCTAGGACAGACAATAGGTCCGGGTGGTGTTGCTCCGGTGTTTTATTCAGGAAAAGAGAGCAATTCTCCCAAATGGGGACATCTGTGAGTAGTTAGCAGCAAACGTTTATAACAGCCAGGGGGTGGGCAAACCAGCCAGGTCAGTTGGCAAGGGTACGAACAGCATCCACTACACAATTGAGTTATACACAGACATGATTGACTAAAATTTTAGATGTAGAAAGTACCTTAGAAACCACTTAAGAAATTAGCACTCATTTTCCACATCTGCAAAATGGAGTGAGAGGCTGGCATTGTGGCATAGTGGGTAAAGCCACTGCTTGTGATACCAGCATCCCATGTGGACTCTGATTCTTGTCCCAGCTGCTTTTGATCTAGTTCTCGGCCAATGTCCTGGGGGAATCAGGATGGAAGAAACATCTGAAAATTGTCAAAGTGTTTGAGCCCTTTCTGCCTTCCCCAGTGGGAGACTCATATGAAGCTAATGGCTCCTAGCCTCAGCCTGACCCAGCCCTGGCCCAGCTTTGGCCATTGCAGCCACTAGGAAGTGAACTAGTGGATGCAAGATTTTTCTCTGTCATTTTGAATTTCAAATAAATAGATGAATCTTTAAAAAAGAAAAAAAAAGAAAAAGGAAGGAAGGGAGGAAAACAAGGAGAAAGGAAGCAAGCTAGAAAGGAAAGGAGAGAGGGAGGGTAGACACAAAGGAGGGAGGGAGGAAGGAAGGGGGAAGGAAGGGGGAGAGGAATGGAGGAAGAGAAAGAGGGAAGGAGGAAGGGAGGGGAGAAGGGAGGAAGGGACGGAAAAAGGAAGGAGAGAACTTTTATTACATATAAATTCATAACTCCACAAAGTTCTTTTTTGATTGCATATATTTAGAAGAAATAGTATTTCTCTCTTTTTCAAAGAACTAGAGGATAGAATTAAATGCTTAAGTACAGGTAACTGTGCAACTTGTTGTAATTAGTTTAAAAAAGGTATTCAACATGAAAATCTTGGTGAGAATGCAATAAATAAATAAATAAGCAAGCCCTGAAATGGACAAATGAATAAAGAACGAGGGATTGATTTCTTCCTATCTCAAGTGACAAGGCACAAAAACCCCAGGCTGGAATAATGCTTAGATATGAGAAGGCTGAAAGGGATGTCTCAGCACCATTTTTTTAAGGCACTAAGTATTTTAACCATATTTTATGAGGAAGAATCTTAAAATAAAGTGAGAATTGGGACTCTATTTAAGTCTTTGGAGCTGACTTTTAGAACCAGGAATTTTCCTTTTTTTTTTTTTTCCTTAAAATGTTCTGACTTTAATGGTGTATTGATGCTGTCACTCTACCAAATGGTAAAAATGTGAGGCTCAATTTCTATTTATAGTAGGAATACTTAAGCTTCAGTCCTAAGATGAACAAAGGGTACATGGAGAGAATTCAGAGAAGCCTTTTACTTGATTAGGTTGAAGGGGGGAGGGATCTGTGTTTTCAGTAACATTTAAGATTTAGAAAGCACTTCACATGCAAATATTGCCCAAAATGTTAGTTCCTATGATCCTGTCACCAACGGAATTCACAAATACATTCATATCACAGAGAACTTGTTGCAGATATCTCAAGACATCATTTGTGTTCATCACTCCCTCAAAACTACTCTGGCATGCTATCTCATCCTTCCTGTCCACAGATGCTCTCACACTGGAACTGGCCCAATAGAATACAATTCTGGGTTTCCAAATGGTGGAGTTGTATAACCTCATAATATAAATTTAACTAAAATAGATTTGCAGAATTTTAGTGTTTGCAGTGTATTGAATGTATGTTCCCCAAATACATACATTTATTTCTTTTAAAAATTTATTTATTTAGGGCCTGGTGGTGTGACATAGCGGCTAAAGTGATCACCTTGAACATGCCAGGATCCCATATGGATGCTGGTTCTAATCATGGCAGTTCTACTTCCCATCCAGTTCCCTGCTTGTGGCCTGGGAAAGCAGTCGAGGACGGCCCAAAGCCTTGGGACCCTGCACCCATGTGGGAGACCTGGAGGAGGTTCCTTGCTCCTGGCTTCAGATCGGCACAGCACTGGCCATTGCGGTCACTTGGGGAGTGAATCATTGAATGGAAGATCTTCCTTGCTGTCTCTCCTCCTTTCTGTATATCTTAGTTTGTAATAAAAATAAATAAATCTTTTAAAAATCTTTTAAAAAAGATTTATTTATTTAGTATCATGATAGACTTGTGAAAATTCACAGAAGACACCCATTGTTAGACTGGAGGGAAAAACAGAGGGAGGGGGAGGGAATATGGAGAGGGGGATGGGAGACCCCAGTGCCAACTGAACTGTACCAACTGTACCAACTGTATCAACTAATAAAAAAATTTTTAGAGATTTGTTTATTTATATGAAAAGGCAAATCTACAGAAATAGAGAAGGAGAGTCAGAAAGAAAACACTTCAATCACAGGTTTTCCCTCCAGGTGGCAGCAGCCCAGGCTGGACCACACCAAAGCCAGGTCTCCCACATGGGCAGCAGGAGCCCAGGAACTCGGCCATCTTGTGCTTTTCAAAGTGTGTTAGCAGGGAGATGCACTGGAACTTGAAGCAATGTCCACAGCATGTGGGGGCTCCAGGCCTCCGATTCATATTTAAATCCTAACGCCCAATGTGATGGTATTAGGAGGAATCTGGGGCTGGGATTAGGTAATGTAGCTGCAGCTTCACAATGGGATTGTCTTTGTAAGCAGACAAGAGCTTGCATTGTCTTTCTCTGCCAGATAAAATTACAGCAAGTTGGTGATATGTAACCTAAAAGGCCTGTTACAAGAAGGTAACACTGCTGGCACTCTGATGGTGGACTTCCAGCTTCCAGAACTGTGAAAAACACAGATCTACTGTTAAAGTAGCTTTCTATCACAGGCCAAACTAAGTAGAACTGGTGTTAGGATTATCATCCCTTGTAACCAAAAAATAGAAATTAAAAATTAAAACTGGAAGTCTTACATGATGCACATTACCCTAAGAAGAAAGGTTTTATTCGCAGTAAATAACAACTTTCAAAAAAAAAAAAATGTCCATACTGACAAATCTAGTAAAGCTAAAATTTGGCTTAAGCTTGTCAGTAGTTAGAATCTATTGTTATTTTTTTTTTTAAAAAATGATTTTTATTGGAAAATCAGATATACATAGAGGAGGAGAGACAGAGAGGAATATCTTCTGTCCACTGATTCATTCCCCAAGTGGCTGCAACGACTGGAGCTGAGCCTATCTGAAGCCAGGAGCCAGGAGACTCTTCCGGTTCACACACATGGGTATAGGGTCCCAAGGCTTTGGGCCGTCCTTAATTGCTTGCCAAGGCCACAAACTGGGAGCTGAACGGGAAGCAGGGCAGCTGGGATTAGAACCCACACCCTGTGCTCACTTCAGTAACACATACACTAGAACCGGCACCCATATGGGATCCTTGTGCATGCAAGGTGAGGACTTTTGTCTCTAGGCTACCGTGCTAGGCCTGAATCTATTGTTACTTAACACATTTTTTAAAGCTGCTAAATTATATAGTAAGCCTAATATTTTACTATAATTAATTTTATTTCTAATTATATACATTTCATATATTCTAATCATATTTCCTCTGGTTTTTGAAGACATCCATAATGGGAAGAAAGTTAAGAAAGTCTTATTTAGAGGAAAATTATTTGCTATTTATGTAAATCATGACATTCACTAGTGTTTGCTTTTGTGATGTCACTCATCATTTCAGTTTAGTCTTTTTTCTAACATCCTGTACAAGGTACATCTTTATATATATATATTTTTAGGTACATCTTATAAAATTTATTGGCCAATGATCTCTGTTAAGTTTGTCAAGTGATAAACCAGCACTGTAGGTCAACTTTAGGACATTTTCATCCCCAAATAAGATCCTTCATTTGTGATCATTAGTTAGGCATACTAAAACTGCATGCTCCCTCTTCATAGAACTTATTTTAATATTTTTTAGATTGTAGGATTATCCTGTAATAAAAGTTTTATAATAAATGGAACAACATTTTAGAAGGAAATTTAAAGAAATGCTAATTCTAATTGATTCAGACAAGAGTGTTCAGTGGATAATAAAATATTGAGTAAAAGGTGGAGGAGTGATAAGACAGTTACATCATCCCAGAGTATTCTTCCATAAGGCATGTACTGATTATAAAAATGAAGTGATTAGGTTACAGAGGAGCCTCAAGGTGGACATCACTGTAGTCAGATGATAAAGGTTAACATCACCAACAATAGAACAGTGCAGCAGCATGTGCCTCCTAGTGTGACACACTGAGAACACAGAATTGTTACTGGGATATTTCTGCCACAAGTACTTCACTTAATCAATTGAGAGAAAACACCAGACAAAACCCACTTGGAGGGATGTGCTATCAAAAGTCGGATACTTAATAAAAGTCAGTCTTGTGAAGTACTAAGGGAGCTTGAGGACTTCTGTAATAAAAGGAAGTAACGGAAGATGACAACTGAATGTGATGCATGATCCTACATTTCATCTCCCATTATTGCAACAATTGATGAAATATGGCTTCAGGCTCTATACTAAATAAATAGTTTTGAATCAGTGTTAATGTCTTAATATTGCTAATTTTTCTAACCCTATATAACAAATGCCATTTTTATAGAATACACACTGGGGAGTATAGCAGAAGAACGGTGTAACTACAAACCACTCTTAAATGGCTCAGAAAGTGTATGTGGCAGGACGTGGAGGGGAAAGGGTAGAAAGAGGAAGAGAGAATGGGAGAGGAAGAAAGAAAGAAAGATGTAAGTATAATTGCAGCATTTATTCTGGAAATCTTTGCTTAAGTACAAAATTATGTTAAAGGAAAAGAGGAGTATTTAGTTTTAGGTGTGCTCACTGTCATACTGCATATTGAAAGTTCTGACACCTCAAATTACATCTATTACGTTATTTTCTCTGTAGATTTTTTGGGGGATGGAGGAAGGCTCTACCTTATTTACTTCTTTTGTATTTGTGCTTTCCTCTTAGATTTGTTCTTTCTCTAGGGCAGATGATGCTGAGTTTCAAGCATATGGCCATTTCATGTCCTACCAATCACCTACCCAAAGTTTCCAAAAAAGACCAGTCATTATGAGAAGCTAAAATAAGGTATGGAAATGTGCAGAATAATGAGTCATGTATTTTGGGAGTCAGCAGCTTCGGCAGGCTGCTGATTCAACTCATGACCTTGGGAAAAAACCACATCTTTGTTTTTGTTTCCTGTTCTCATAATCTTTCACCCAGAGCTTATATTATCGGGTGTTGAAAGGATTAATTTATGATCATTTTGCATCTCCACAATTTTGGTATTAAGGAAGTTACCATACATAAATATCCCTATAAATAGCATTCTTATGAAAATTCACTTCTTGATATTTTGGTGGTTGTTCTAGAACTGTAAGTACATTTTATGAAACTTAAAATATTACCAGCTGTATAACTTTCTCCTTGATGAAATTGCATTATTAAAAGCAATAAAAAAAACCTTGCAAGATTCACTGTATCAGCCATATTTTTCCATTTTGGCTTAAAGAGGCCTGAAGTTGTTAACATGGGTTAATGTATTTTCATTTTCATTCTTTCCTTTTCTCCCTTCTTTCCCTTCTCTTCTTTTCTTACTTCCATCCTTCCCTTTCACTTTCCTTCCTTCCTTCTTTATTTTTGCTTAAGTTGATTTAGGAAACGAAGTCATTTGGTACATATGGCAGAGATTCATTTCCTTCTTATCCATAACAACATCATTTCAATTTTATTCATGGTGATAATTATGTAAATTTATAAACTCAACTTCAAAGCTTGTTCTGTTACACAAAGGACAATGAAAGAAGTACTAGTCATGAGATAGAGGCACAGCTATTTTAAATTGTAATTGTACCAAACATATTTAGATTGACATATCTTTTTATTTTTTTGGCATCTATTTTTATTTATTTGAAAGGCAGAGGCACACATACACACCAACCATCTCTGGTATGCTTCAAAATGTCCGTAACAACCTAGGGATGCCAGGTTAAAGCTGAGAGCCAGAATCCCATTAGTGTCTGCCAAGTGAGTGGCAGAGAATCAGCCACTTGAACTATCATCTGCTGCCTCCCAAGATGCATTAGCAGGATACTGGAGTGTAAGAATAGCCAAGACTCGAACCAGGCACTGCAATTCAGCATGTGGCAGTCTCACGCAGCAACTAACCCAGCAGCCCCAGAATCCCACCCATATTCAGGTGGCATTGGAAAGCTGCTATTAGTATGAATTTTGGGTGAGACCATTTGCTCTCTGCCCACATGCTTATTCCTGCCTAGAATGCATAAGTTCAAATTCCAGGGGCTGTCTTGTAGATGGAGGCCTTGCTTTCAAAAAGACATGGCAGAAGGACTTGATTCCTGCAATCTTTGTTGTACTCTATAGCAATTTGTACCATCTATTTCTGAACTTTTAATGCAAAAGAATAAATTCTTAGTTTTTATGTCATTTTGCCTAGCTCTATTGCTAAAAACTAACAAAATTCCTAGCTGATTTTAAGTATGTCCCTTCAATTGAACAACCCTTGCACTACATGGACTTGCTTGATTTATTTTGCGTGGATTTAATATAAGAAGCAAGACAAAATATTTTTGCTAAAACTATAGGTATATCACTTCATTTTTGTTTCGTTTATGAGATTTAGATAAAAGGAAATCAATGTTAACCACTACTACCCTAACTTCCTTTCTCATTTTTTTTTATCTAAATAAGAAATAATGTTTGAAGTGGTTCAAATATGGCAGCTAAGAATCATAAGACCTACATTCCTTCCTTCCTTCCTTCCTTTCTTTCTTTCTTTCTTTCTTTCTTTCTTTCTTTCTTTCTTTCTTTCTTCCTTTCTTCCTTTCTTCCTTTCTTCCTTTCTTCCTTTCTTCCTTTCTTCCTTTCTTCCTTTCTTTCTTTCACATATATATATTTGTTTGAATGTTACAGTTACAAGAAGACAGAAAGAGAGATCACAGTGCCCTCAACAGCCTGGACTGGGCCAGGCAAAAGCCAGGAGCCAGAAACTTCTCCCAGGTCTTCCATATAGGAATCAGGGGTCTAAGCACTTGGACCGTCTTCTGTTGCTCTTCCCAAGTCATTATGATGAAACTGGGTTGAAATGGGATAGCTAGGACATGAACCAGTGCCCATATGGGATGCCAGCATTGAAAGCAGTGGATTCACTTGCCACAGTGCTGGCCCACTACAAAACCTTTTTAAATTAAGCTTGACAATATTCCTAATATGTTGCCTTCTCTTTGTTCTTACTGTCATGGTATTGTATCAGACCACAGTCATTTCAGTGTGCTGCTTGAGGCATCTTGTGTCCAATCTTTATTCTCTAGGCTCTTTTCTTCACTGACATCAGAAAAAACATTCTATGTAATTCAAGAATAAAAATCTTGCTTAGCGTGCCAGAGCTACGACATAGTAGCCATCCTATAGTCGCACAGTTTTGTGCCCAGCTCCCTGCTTATGGCTGTGGAAAGCAGTAAAGGATGGTCTGAAGCCTTGGGAGAACCAGAGGAAGTTCTGGCTTCAGATTGGCTCAGCTTTAATCAATTAGTCATCTGGGGAATGAGTCAGCAGATGAAAAATATCTTTCTCTGTCTCTCCTTCTCTCTATAACTTTGCCTTTGAAATACAAATAAAATAAAAATAAATAAATAAAATATATATACACAAATAAAATAAATATATTCCTTACTTAGGAAAAAAACTACCTAAGTAAACAGAGAGTAACCAAGATGTGTCAGAAGCTGGAAAGAAGTTAACATTTGAAGGGGATGGCAATATAGAAGGAACAGCACAAGATAAAAATGAACTATTAAGCCATTGTGAGACATGGAAGAACATTATCTGCATATTACTAATTGAGGAATGCAATGTGAATATGTTATATATTGTATAATTTCAACTGTATGACATTATGGAAAATACAAACTTATGGAGAAAGGAAAAAGATCAATAGTTATTATGAGTTGGAAGGAGAAAGAGATGAATTGACAGGGCACAGAGGATTTTTAGGGGAGTGAAGCATCCTGTGCTACCATAATGGGGATAAATGTTGTTACACATTTGTTCAAACCTATGGAATGGACAACAACAAGTGAATTCTAATGAATGTTATAAACTTTGGGTATAATGATGTATCAACATAGCCTCATCGATTTCAACAAATGTATTACCATGGAAGGACTGCTACAGTGGGGACTGTTGTTCATGCATCATATGAGGACATATGTGTATACTGTTTACTTCCTGCTCACTTTTTCTGTAAACCTGAAACTGTGAAAAATAACATTCAGTTAAAAAAAAATCTATAGTCTTACAAGAAATATAGTAGAAACCAAAGTCAATACAGTGTGATGTTTACAATATGTGGTAAACATATTTATCACCTATTTCCTATTCTTAAGGTAAAAGACCATCAATGATGATGAACTCTGTGATGACACAGATACTGGAATAGATGAAGACTTTTCTTTAAAGATTTACTTTTGTTTATTTGAAAGGTGGAGTTGTTGAGAAAGGGAGAGACATAGAAATGTTCCATCTATTGGCTTACTCCCCAAATGGGCATTATGGCCAGAACAAGGCCAGGTCCAACTCAGGAGCCAGGAGCTTTTTCTGGGTCTCCCATGTGGGTGCAGGCACCCAGGGATTTGGGCTGTCCTTCACTGCTTTCCACAGCAATAATCAGGGCACTGGATTGAAAGTGGAGCAGCCGGAACACAAAACAGCACCCATATGCGACCCCTGCTTCCATGATGAGGATTTAGCCATTGAGCCATCATGCCGGGCCGCTGATTTCCAATATTGTTAAAGCCATTGTCAGTGAGCTGGATCAGAGGTGGAGCAACCAAGACAGGAACAGGCCCCATATAAGATGCAGCATCATAGGCACCAGCTTTTGCCACCATTCTAACACAAGTCCTAAACAGATTTTGAAACAGTGTTATTCTTTGCTCAAGGACATAAAATATGTGCACAGTGATTGAATAAGAAATGTCAGCTATGAAATAGAAACTGTGAAGCAAAGACATGACAATTCTAGAAGTAAAATATTACCTAAAATCTTAACAACAAGAAGAAATCATTTTGTGGGCTTAATGGTAGTTTTGGGTTAACAGAAGGTTCACTGAACTTGAAGATTTCAACACCAAAATAATCCACTCTAAGATGTTGAAAAAAAAAAAGGTTGAGATAAAAGTGAATAAAACTTCAGTGTTCTGTGAGACAATTAAGGGCTAACACACATGTTTATAGAGTTAAGAATGGTGCTGAAACAGTTCCTGCTATGACAGGAGGTGGACTGAGTAGGGTTGGCTCATGGACCCACTGGTAAGCGTGAAACCTGGCATTGGGAGAGGTTCTGATGGAGGAGCCTGGGCAACTCCTCTGGCAGGACACAGACCCAGCAGGTAAATGCAAGAAACACGATAGGAAACAGCCTAGAAAAGGCCATGGAAAGCTACCCACTGGCATACAATTGGCAGACGTGGGGGCAAGACCAGGCTGAATCTGTCCACATCATCCACTGGCAAATCCAGGCACCAGTATGGGTCGACCCAGGTTCGGTCGCAACAAAGACTAGTGCACATTATGGAATGCCGAGGTGAGGCTGCCTGTACCGGAAGGGACCGCAGCGCCCAACCAGCCTGAGAACAAGAAAGGAAGTGGGCAGAGCTGGCAGGGGAATAAGGGAGGGTTCCTTTGCAGGACAGCTACTTCCGCAGGAGAGCATGGGCTGGGATGGGGGCAGACCAGACTAGGCAAAGCTATCACACCTGTGCGCCTCATGGGACTAGATCAGGGAAAAGCCGGGCTGGGCGGATTATTCCTACTGGTGCAAACAAAATTAAAGTGGGCGAGGGTTGTTTGGGCTTAGACGCAGCATCAACTGGAATCTGGGAGTGGGAGAGGCCTGGGAGGGAAATAGTGGGCTCATCCCTCTTGGGTTACCACTTCCACAGAAGGACATAAAACTAAGATAGTGGCTGGGGTGGAATGGGGTGTGGGACAGACTGGATTACTGCTACACTTACTGGCAAACCAGGGTAGGGGGTGGGCCTGGTGGGGGTTATTGTGGGTCGCGCCAA